AATCATATAACATTCTTGCCAGAAGCAGATTGTTGGTATTTCGAATCTTACACAGACGCACAAACTTTTACGAGCAATTTACGCTGTATTACGAATTAACTTATTTTGCGAATAAAATTTCTAAATTATAACTTTTGTGTTGTACCTACGGATAATAAACTCGTTGTTTACACGTCGATTAAATAGTCTATTTAAACTATTCAAATAGTTTGTTATTGTATGTTTTATTATTGGATACAATTTGACTCACGTGCGAAGTCCGTTGTCAAAACGTGTCGACCGGCTTAATTGGAGTATTCAAAATCTGTTCCGGTGTTCGCTGTTCATACGAGTAAGTGTACACTTTTTTATGTATGCAATGTATATGTATAGCACCTTAACAACGCTGTAGTACCAACTAACTATAATTAGTAAAAAAAATAGTAATAAAAAATAGTAATACTTAAGTATATAACAAAACGCGATTGGTTTTTTTTACTTGACATTTTAATACTTATAAAAATACTTTTATAATTAATAATTGATTATATGTATTATACACTTGGCTGTTAAAACAATAACAATATAATTATACGAGTATTATGATCATTATGTGCCGCGGACTGTGAGTGATTTTTTTTACACATTAAATACATCTTGAATACATACATTTTGAAAATAAATAAAAACCTCTTTCCATTAAAAAATATTATTTACATTGTTTAAACTAAAATATAAAATATATATAAATAGATAAGGAAGGTATTTTTTAATAAATATCAAAATATTTCAAAACTGTATAATTAAATTTGACATATACGATGAATATTTTTTTTTTAATAAAAGTTATTTCCTCAGTATCGTTCTCGGTGCTCAACCTTTTTTAACCTTTTTATTTTATCTAAATTCCACCAGTAGTTTTTTTTTACCTGGGAAAAATTCATACTCCATCGATGTAAATTTTATTTAATTAGATTTTAATAAAATTGCTTAATATTAAATAAAAGTTAAGAACTATTTAGAATCACTCAGGAAAGATCACGAGAAGGCGGTTTATTTTATCTTGCAAAAGTTTTTATTTTAATTTTCATGTTATTTATTAAAATATATTATAATGATCAATTGCAATTCGTGAGAAAATGAAAGAATTTAATTTTTAAAAAATCGAATTAAAATTTTGGTTTGTAATGATGAGACGCCGCTTTGACGAATTGAATAAAGGTAGGGGCGGAATGGGATAATATTTCAAGCCGGGAAATGTTTTAGGCAGGTCAAAGATTTTACCTAAAAAATGGGGTAATTTTTTTTAACAAGTTTACATTATATTTATATAAACAATATACCTAAACCTAAACCTTAAACAAAAACACAAGTAGTACTATACTCCCTTAACTTTTGTTGTTGTAAATTAATATTCAGTTTTATAAAACGGTGAAATAAACTTAATATTAATATTACATTAATAACACGGACAATAAATTGTACTTAATTATAAAAAGTTTTAAGTATATTATATACTTTGAAGATTATAATACAAATTAAAAGTAGACTTTTATATATTAATTACAATATCAACTAAAGTAATTTAAATAATTAATACATTTGCAAAATATTGAAAATATAGTATGATTTATGACTTTGACTTATGACTTTACATTTTTCATCCATTAAATTATTTTTTCATATTCTATGATAGGTGCTTTTACTTATGAGTATAGTAAACTAAAAAGTAAGAATTTACTAAACACTGCACACTGCATTATAAGTATTAATCAAAGAAACATTTTTTCTTCATATTTTCTTATTATATTAAAAATAATAATAATAATAATAATAATAATAAAAATAATTAACATAACGAAATCTAATAAATATATGAATAAATATTATAATATACATATATAAAATATAACGTATTGTCAATAATTAATAGTCTCCAGATCAAGTCAAGCGCATAAATAGTCGAGCCGGGCCAGTCTGCCCTTGCATAAAAATATTATATTATTTTTTTAAATTATGAAATTAGGTTGTTTAAAAAATTCTGCCGAGTATTCAGGGTTTACAGTGAAAAAAAAAAGGCAGGGGGCTCTAATCCATATATTATTTTCAGCGTTCTATATAGTTCTATAAAATTACTAGGTTAATTGCTAAGTTCTTAATTATAGATATATGAGTTTTTATGTTATAAGATGTTAGTAAACAATTTCATCCACAAACTATTCATGTGTTGTAAAAATGTACTAACTTGTAAATTACTTACTTATTGTTTCACATACATGGGCGTCATTTGGGGGGGGGGGGCAGACTATGGCAAATGCCTCACTCTAAGAAATTTTAAAAAGTTGGCAATTCTTTATACGATGATCAAATGCTAAAAATAAATTTTTATTTACTATTTTGTACTCAAAAATCAGATAATATTCTCTTTTAAATACATGTTCAAGGTTTATTTTAAGTTGGGAAACACTGGCTCCTCCCCAGTTTATGACAGTCGTTATTACGCGAACCTTAAAACTTTATTTTTCGTATATTATAGATTTCTATATATGTGATCTTTATAAAACATTTTTTGTGATATCGATACTATAAGAATTGAGCTCATACAGGCGTGTACTGGCCCACCGGGATACCGGAAAAATCCCGGTAAAGCCTCTCAAAAATTTATAAGACCTGGGCCCCTTACCAAATAAGTACCTGCATTTTCAGTTAAATTCAGTAATTTTATTATTTTTAACAATTACAATACAATACTGATGGACAGTCGACTTCTTAATTTAGTATCCAATGGGAAATGAGTAAAACATGCAATTTTTCGAATAATTTAATTAATTTGCTTTTGGTAAATATGTCTACTACTATTATTTCAATTATTAAAATCATTTGATTACTTTGATGATCGAAAAATAATAATTGAATGATTCGATTATTTGAAATAATCGAATCATTCGATTATTCCATTTAATTATTACCATCACTAGGAATCACATCACCAGCAGAATCGGTAAGTAATTTTGCTGAAGTTCGGAAAAACGAACTGTATCAGCTCAGGAATACAGTAAATTTAAATATATTGCAATTTCTTTAGACATATTTACAATTTTGTTTTTTCCAATAACCTGCTTGATGCAATAACCGTTTTTATCACTAAAAAAAAATTTATCTGGCGTTACATTTGTGGGTCATAAATCTATGTATTTCTTAAAAATATCATATAATTCCGCTTTAATAGTAAATGATCATGAAAAATCTTACATACATCATAATAAATGAATGGAGAATGAATAGCCAGTATAAACAAAACAATTTTACCTCACTTACCTTTTTACTAAATATTGAATATCAGGAGCTTCGTCAATGAATTTTTTATATAGGTTGAAGTTTAGAAGTTTAGAACTTAAGAATTTTTACTTTTAATCCACTTGATTTTCTCTTTAAAAACACTTGTAATTTTAAATAAGTACCAACGTTAATATTATGTTTCACATTTTTCATGCTTTTAAGCAATAAATAAATAGACCATAGAGTTGACGATTGAATTTCTGTAGATAATTTATTAAAATTTGTAAGAAACACATTTTCCGACAACGATTTGGTTTTATTTATTTATCTCAAGTTTAAAAGTTTTTCATAAGCCATTATATATCTTTCTTTTGATTTTTCAGGCAATAGATTTAGTGAAATAGCATTTGCCATTTTAACTATGTATGGTGAAGTTAATGATTCACTACAACTATTGTACTGATCGTCATCATTCGTATTTATGCTTGTTTGTTGCGTAAATTTGTAGGTAACATAAATTGATTTTTTCACCCACTAAGCTAATTTTTTTTGCTAGCGCCCCTGATCAGATCTATGCAATACAATATGTAATTCCCAAAAAAAGAACTAAGACAAGAATGGTTAATTGATTAAAGTTACAACTTACAAAAGTAACTCGGTTAATTAGTATGTAGAAAATTTAGCTCGGGTCATTCTGTGTGAATCTTATACATGAATATTTGACCATAGGCGGACATTTGGTTGAATTTTTGGGGGGAGGGCTATAATAATTCAATGTAAAATAACCCACAGGAGCTTCGCCCCCATACCTCCTTCCAATACACAAGTAAAACGTATTACCATTATAAATATAGATATGTTTAAATTGTATTAAAAAAAAAAAAAACACTAAATAACGTATATTTAAAAATAATTAATATTTTATTTTAATGACAAATAACTATTTGTATTAGCAAAGATACTCAAAATATCATCGCTTTTTATATTTTTCGATATATCTTTTTCAATATACGAGTATAGTATTGAAAGATTGCTGAACTTATCTTGAACCAACAATGTCCTTAATAAAGTATTTACTTTTTTCAATGCACTGACGCTTCTTTCGCAAGTAGCCAAACTATGTAATTGGTATTGTTAATGCTATTGTAAATAGTTTTTTATTATTTCTTATTTTACGATTTTCAAAAAAAATGAACAGATAATGATAAATAAATTATAAAAACAACGAATAAAATTTCTAACAAAGTTTCGATTTTGGGGGTGCTATTAAAATATTTGGGAGGAGGGTCTAAGCCCCTCAAGCCCCCCCGCCTGATATCCGCCTATGTATTTGACGCGGGAAAAAACGTTATCGTAAAGGAGTATTTAATAAATAACGGTTTATGTGTCGATAACGGTAATGCCTGAACTTTGTACAGGAGTGGGATAATTATTTTTGCAAACTTTGCACGAAGAGTTTCGTACGTGGGCATGTCGTAATAATACGTAAATAAATAATAATAATATTTATGTGGTTGTGGATTAATTTACAACACGTTATTTGATAACATTGCGCGTGATCATCGTGATACAAGCGGTCACAAGCGATAGGTACGCTCAAGTCGTTTGTCCCAGACAGATACGTTGCGACTGTACGGCGGGCGGTGTGAGAGCATAGGTGACGACCCACGCACGGTCCGGGTTGTCATCTTACCTATAGCTTGTATACCGCGAAGCCGAACGGATTTTATCATTATTTTTTGAAATATTATCTTTTAGTAAATATTATTCTCTGTGTACGTTAGGCCCGTGCAATCCGTAAATGATGGTCGTGGAATAACGAAGTTTTCAGAATATCTATCGTTACTCAACTAGGGTAATTGCATCGGAAATATTATTTACGTTAACGGCGATATTGCGACAGCGGTGTAAAAACGTAGAATATCGCGTTGTTTGCTGTTGAAATACGAGTCCGTTTCCTGTCGCGATTTCCAGTATTTATCGTTCCATCGTTGCATTATGCCCAGTGGCTATGTATCGTTTCACTCGACCCCGTCGACCATCTAGCGTCTGCCGCCTGGCACAAAGATCGTCGTGGGTTGGCGTGCACGCAAAAGGTTTCATTTAATTTGTTAATTGTGACGCAAATAGCTTGGTCATGGACTGGAAGTCAGTAATACGCCAGCAATTGGAAAGCAGAAATGCCAGGGAGACGGCTAGCTTTCAGAATCTGATTACTTACTGTGAGTATAAACTAGCATTGCTGTGTTGTGATTGTCATAATGAACGATTATACGTCTCGATTTTCTAGATAATAAGCTGTACGACAGCTCATTGTTATTACGAGCACAAAACATTCAACTTGAATCACAAGTGATACGTGGAAATTCTGGTGGTGACTTATTGTTGTCGGAAAAGGTATCGAATCTGGAACAAAAACTACTTATGCAACAAGAAGAGCTGACTGAATTACATCGGAGGCGTGGAGAAAACGCCCAGATGATTATAGATTTAAATGCAAAGTTACAATTGACTGAGCAGGCAATTACAAGTAAAAATATCAGGTGATTGTGTATTAAATTATTTGAATACTATTTACCAGTTATTTGGTTCTCAGATCAATAGTTCTATTGATAGTAAGGATTTTACTATAGTATTAATTGTTATTATTAAGTATTTACACTGTGAAACTGTTTTTTTGATTTTTTCAATTGATTCTAAATACTTAGGAATAATGCTAGTTCCATATGAATATAATTGTCATAGTTATGTATTTGTACAATTTATTTTTATTATTTATTAGTATTATCACCATGTATATATATATATATATATATATATATATATATTTGAATTGTTGTTATGCTGTCTGTCCTTAGACCAATGCAAATCAATGAAAGTGTTTTCAATGTAAAAATGATATTTTACTTTTTTTTTGTTTACTTATTATTACTTATATTAGGTGGTACTTATTAATTACACAAATATAAATAACACACTTCACAATATTTTTTTATACACTTAATTGAATACATTTATTTAGAATACTATTATTTTATAATTATGTAGCAATTTCTAAAAAGTTAAAGAATTTTATAGACTTAATTTTTGGATTTATTTCTTTTTACAATATTATATTTTATTTATATTAATATTATTTATTATAAAGTGCAATAAATATAAAATATTCTTCTGTACTTACATTCACAATGATAATGTGTTAAATGTATTACTAGAACTCATGTTATATTGATTTAATATTAGTTTTAAGTATTGAGATTTTAAATTGTAACAAGTAGTAAACATATTTACAATTATTTTCTAAATTGAATTATAAATATTATTCACAATTTTGATTTAAAACTAAAATATTTTATAAATTATTAAACAATAGACACCGTTGTTTATTTATTGTTAATAAGATTCTACTTTCAATTCAAATAGTTTATGTAATTAAGTTGAAATTAATGAAATTATTTTGTTACTTATTAAGATTTTTTTAGATCTTTATTAACTTGTACTTCTATCTTAAATAATCAAATATTAAATTATTTAATTGATATACTAATATATACATTTCTTGGGCTTAATGTTTTGTATATTTTATTGTGATTAACAATGAAATATTGTTTTTATTTAAACTATAAGAAATTACTTTACTTTCTAAAAATGAATATTAATTTTCAGAAAAGTATTGTGAAGTTAATTTTTTATTGATTTTAATGATAAAGTCTATCCATAGAGATTTAAAAAAAAAAGTTTGCATATATTCTGTAGAATAATGATTTTTAGTACATTTACAATTTTCTTGTATAAGATTCTACTTTTTTAGATTTCCTTATTTTGGTTATTCATATAATATATATAAAACTCTTGTAATGTCTACATGCTGGTGATATTGATTTTTATGTTAAAAATAAACATTTCTTTCTTTGGTTTTTGATTCTGTGAAATTGTTACTTGTTTTATTATATATTAATACTGTATATCTATGATGTGCTAAAAACAAGAATGAATCTGTAGAATAAGTATCTAAACGGAGAACAAGCTGCTTGAACAAGTAGAACATTATAAATACCTAGGCAGTTTAATCAATCAAGACGTAAGATGCATCATAGAAATAAGATCCAGAATCGCACAGGCAAAGTAAGCATTTATGAAAAAGAAAAAATTGTTATGCTCCGTTCCAATAACATGAGTATTAAGATGAGAAAATGTTTTATAAAAGTTTATGTATGGAGTGTGGCACTCTATGGTTGCGAAACATAGATATTAAATAAGGCAGAACAACAAACACTCGAAAGCTTCGAAATGTGGTGCTAGAGAAGGACGCTGAGTGTGAGTTGGATAGAACACCATACCAACAAAAACATACTCAGTGAAATAGAGGAACGAAGAGAGATATTCAAAGTCATCAGAACAAGAAGATGGAATATGATGGGTCATATATTGAGACACGAAAATAAACTAACCCATAAAATAATAGAAGAGATAATTGAAGGTAAAAGGAATCGAGAACTTCATTTGTCAAACAAATGATCTCCAAGGCTGGACTAACAAGTTACACAGAACTGAAAGGGGTAGCTGAGAACAAAGAGGAGTGGAGAGTGAATTGCAAAACCAACCTTAAGGGATGAATACCAAAAAGAAGACTGTATATCTATTACCTATAAACTAAATTTGAACTATTATATTTTTAATAATATACAATTAAATATCAAGTATTTTTATTGTTCAAATGTATTTAATCTGCATTTTACTTTTATTCTGATGTTCAATATAAATGTATTATATTCATAATTCAAAAAAATGTAAGTTTGAATTAAGCTAGTAATTAAATTAATCAAATGTTGACATGGTCAGGGTTGTGATTAACGTGAGATCTTGTATTGTCTGAATTTATCCATTTATATGCATACTAATAAATTGAAATGCTATTTCATTTAGAAGTGTATAAAGAAAATATATTATACTATGCATATTTAAAATAACATAATAATCATAATAATTAACTAAAGTAAAAATTAAATTTCAAAATAGTATAATGTGACAACAGTAAAAGATATATTGGTCAATGCGACTAAAATATAATATTACACATTTCTTATTAACATTGTGTTAAGAATTATATAATATTTTGATTAATACCCACGTTTCCCAATAGGAGAGTGGAATTCTTTATGGAAGTGTTTAGGCATTCCATGGGGAATAATATTATAATGGTAAAATTCTGAAAATAACATTATTTGTTAAATCGTTTAGATTTTTATTATTTAATTTACTGATTGTATTGCTAAAACTGTTAATTTTTTTATATTTTTTTATTGTATAATTGTAATTTAAATGGGATAGTTATGGTATTGTTAGTATACTTGTTTATGATGCATTGACTTCTTTACTATAATAAATCAAGAACTTGATTCATTAGATGAAGCCTTACATTATTATTCCTCATTTAATAAACAGGGAAAGATATAAATTAAAAAAAAAAAAAATAAAGCAATTTGTATTTTTTTTATGCATTATTGGAAATGTGATACACAATTTATGTGTTTTTAAATTTGTTGTCAACCTAAAATATATTTTGATTTTAATATGTTACATTTTATGTCTGTTTTTTAATATAGTGTAGAAATCTGTTTTTATGATGATGTAGTATATTAAAAATAATTTTTAACATTTTATGATTGCAGTTTGACTGAAAATATAAAGTTAGTTGCTAGTTTACGAGCTGAAATATCATTATACCAGAAAAATAACTCTGAGTTAAAGCAATTAAATCAAGTTCTCAAGGATGAACACCAAGCATTACAATTGGCATTTACTAAACTTGAAGAAAAATTACGCAAATCTCAAGTAATTTTTTAATTAATTTATATACAAACACATTCCTTTCTTAATTAATTTTTAATCTGAAATGTTAATTTTGAAATATAAATATTACAAAATATTAATAACTTATTATTATTATAATATAGATCCTTTCAAATTATTAAAAGGAACTGCATTTTTAATATATTTTACTTTTTCTTTACCTTTAATTTTAAAATAATATTACAAATGACAGTTTGGAAGTGAAGAATATATACTTTTTCTTTGCTAAACATTTTTATTGTATTGTTAAAAATTGTTAAAAACATATAATTTAAATAATAATTAATACATTTTAAAATTTTATTGTTAAATCTTAAGTTACTAAACAAGCCTAAATTGTGCCTTTAAATAATATGATATATATATTATATAATATACAGGTTAGCCCAAAAGTCTTTGCTCACTGATTTTTTTTTTATTTCTAAGCAATAAAAAAAAATTATAAATTATCGTTTATTCATAAAAATAACAACAAATAGTGTGTAATTGTGCAAGCCAAGTCGGCAAGCAAAGGCTTTTGGGCCACCCTTTTATGCGTAATAATGTATAAGTTGATAAATAATTTATATAATTTAAATTAAATTTATTAGATAAGGATATTAACAATAAGATATGTGAATAACTGCTATTATAAGTACCAATTAAATTTCTGTATTGTATTATTTACTATAGTATTCAAATAATTAGCATCACACATTATGTATTTTGTACAGTATGCAATTTAATAATGAAATATGAATTTATAAATGTTTTATCTTCAATGATTTCTCTGTAAATTATGTTAAATGGAAATCAAAAAATATCAGATAAACTATTGTATAATTGATGGCAGAAAAACTTTTATTTAATTGAAAATGTAGTTATAACATAATAAAATATATATTTTTTTGAAATTAGTAAACGAACATAAAGATGACCATGGGAAAAAGTACTAGATATTGATATTACGTCATCATCTCAGATGAATAAATGTAAATATCATCCAAAATAAATTAGTTAAGAAAATCTTTTGGCTTATTTTTAGCTTAATGTAAATAAACATACATTTGATTAAATAAATACTGTGTTGAATGACTTATAAAGTGATATTAATTTAAATGTATGGATAATATGATTATTTGTAATATATGGAATTGTTTAATTTTTTCATTGAATCATAAATTTAAATTCCTCCTTTTTAATAATATTGAATTATTTACATTATTTTCTTTCCAAAAAAAAAAAAAAAAATTGTATTCTAAATGATTTTTATTTCATAATATTCAAACAAAAGTAATTTTCGTTCAGTTTGTGTAAATGATTTGCTTATCAAAAAAAAATATTTTTACTTTATTTTTAATCAATAAGAGTTAATAAGTATATATATAAAAGCTATTTTTTCTTCTTTAAAATTATGCTTTTTAAGGTTTGTAACAATAATGAATTTATGAAGGAAAAATGTTATGGGAAGAATAATATAATTCTTTTATTGTTTCATTGGAATATACTACAGCTTTAAAATTCACTCACAATATTAAAAATATATATAAAAAAATTTGTAAAGTTATTTATCATCTTGTAATTTTATTTTATTCCATTGATTATGATTACTTTCCAATAAATAAATTGAACTAATTGGTTTAGATACTTTTATTTCTGAATTATATATAAATAAATATTTAATTTGAGGATTAGGTATCTATATTTTTAAATATTTTAATCATCATTCTCCCAGTAAATTATTTTTTATTTAATAGATTATTTGAACTTTAAATATGTACATTTAAATTTGTATATGATAATTATCATATAGTTAAACTATTTTATATTTTGAGTATTATTTAAATTTTTCAAATATTTTTTAATTATTTATCTTCAATAATAACATTTTTTTTTATTAATTATATGTATATAATTAATATTATTAATAAATTAATAATTCATTATTTTATAATATTTGATTAAATTTTATAACTGTATCTATTTCTAAATATATTTTTTATAATTTTAAATAAATATATGCATAAAAGTGAAATTTGTTTTCAGTAAAAACAATTTTTAAAAATAATTACGATCCTGCTTCATTTTAAAGAAGTTTATAAAAAGTGATAAAAATAATAAGTTCACTTAAATCTACAAGACTTGACAATTCATAAATTCTTTCATTTTTTTTTACAATATGCTTACACAAGTGCAAAAAATGTGATTTTATTTATATTATTTATTTAAAATTAAAAGATATACTTAATAATTTATTTTAAATTGTGGTTATAATTTTATCAACTATAATTTATTTTAGTTTTCTTATTTATCATAAACAACTTTTCTACATTCTAGATTCATGTATTATATGGTTATTTCAATTATTTTAATTAATTCTTAAAAGTATTGTTTTATTTTTGTTTAAAGTATAATAATAGAATACTTTCTAATGGTATGAAAAACACGTATTTTTATTAATTTACATTTTATCTTAATCGATATTGATATCAATGTTTTTGATACTTAAGAATATTGCACTCCATTTTTATAAACATTGGTTGCTATTTGGTTGTTAATTTATAAAGTTTCACTTCTCTCAAAATTGATGTTGAATGAATTCCAGGCAATTTGTATCTTATGGATTTTACTTTTATTGTAAATAGTTTTATAAACTGAAAAATTAAAATAAAAAACTTAGTAATGCCAATTAAAGACCTAAACCGTAGCGCTTTGAGACGCGTCTATTTATAATATTGCACGAGATTATGCCCCCACTAACATGCCAGTTAGTTGACACACACACTGCACAATCACAAAATGTTTGCTAAGCTAACGCGTCGTCGATTTTCATTTCAGGATGAAAACAGAGAACTCGTGGACAGGTTAATGACTTATAAATCTAAGGACGCCGAAAAACTGAATGAGGAAAACGATCATCTTGTCAGGTAAAGCAATTTGTATTTTTTTTATACTTGCCAGGTGAACATAATAACTTATTATATGCACATATATTATATAAAAACTGCAATTTTAATGTGAATAGAGTTTACAATGGTTCATACAATGATGCTTTCATATTTTTAGCGTTCGAACTACATGCTAAAACACTAACTTATATTTAATTTGTTTGAAGGACATATCCTTATAATGTTAGAACATGTTCTCGATGAAAATAATAATCAAATGACATACTTTATTTAACTTTTTTTTTGTATTTCAATGCAATTTGCTATAAAGTTCAATGTTTATGTTGTTTGATTGTTTTTAAATAGATTATCTACTAGTAAGTGTTATTTATATATAAATTACAAGGTTTTAATTTCAAAACTGAACAAGCTTTATTATATATTTCATAAGTATGAATGTCATATTTTTGTAAGAATAAAAATCGTGGTTTCTATTGGACACCTAACCAGCCCCTATTATTAATAAAAGTTCATACTACAAATTTTTTAATGTACAATGATATGATACAGAGACCCCTTCTACTCCCTTCCATATGATTACATTTTTTAGTACAATGTCAGTAATAATTATTTATATAGCATATAGTTCTTTTTTATTAATTAAATTACATATTATAATTAGGTAACTACTAATCTGTTATTATTTTTTAAACTGAAAATATACTTTTGTTTGGTATAAAAATGAAAACTATTTACAAGTTATTTATTATTTATTAATGTGGAATATATAACTTAAAATTTAATAAGTCTTAATAATAAAATTTAATAATTTAATTAAGTCCTCATCAGCTGTCTTGCTTAAACTGGATTCTTTAAAAACACATTCTTAGGAGTGTCATTCATTAGTATTTAGTAGGTACAGACTTCTCGAATCCGTAGTGCACACTTCTAGTTTCAGACTACATATTTTTTGTCGGGATTCACTAAAAAATAGGGACTGCACCTAACTGAGGTCATCATTTTGGTAAACATTTACTGGAAGACAAACGTAAATGAACATTATATATTATGCAATATCTTTAAAAATCGTTCATTACTAATAATAATTAAATTCGCATACTCCACACGTTTTTGAAAATATTTTTGGAATGTCTCATTTTTTGTCTAAGTTTATCATATAGTATTGCTTAGATAGATCTAATCACTTTTGTTTTTGAATCTTACAATTTGTATTCATAATCAAATTGTTATAGTATATTTTAGTTTTATTTTTTAGTTTTTGAGTGGAAGAAATTTACTTATTGATTATTAATAATGTATTTAAATAACAAATTAAATGTCATACTTGATTCATCAACGTTTTTTCTTGAATTTTAAAATAAAGTAAAAAATGACGTTATATATAAGTCGAAAACCCAGTGCTAAAAAAGATTTAAAGTTAGGGTTTTTTTTATAAAGATTTTTTTTTCAAGGTTATTTCGTAAATTATTGGAAAATTTATGTAATATATGACATTATTATTTTAAAAAATCAGTATTAATTAATTTAACTATATGAGTTAAAATAATTATATCAGATATTCATTTTAAAATTTTAGTACATTTAAAAAAATCGACGATGTTAGAGTTTTGAAATATAGTATATCAAGTTCCTATAATCCTATAGAGCGGGGCCGTATTTAGTGTAGGGCAAGAGGGCATGGGCTAGGGGCGTAATTCTTAAAGGGATGCAAATTTCAATTCTACTCATGTAATATTTTCACGAAATATGAAAAAGATGTAGTTAAAACAATTCAATTTGATGTCATTGATAAATTTGCCCCAATAAAATCAAGTACCATTGTAATATCGTATTAAAATAAATTTAAATCATCTATCACAATTTTATAACAGATTATTGAAGAAAATTACATGTTTTTATAATTTATTGATTGTTGCAATTACAGTCATTTTCCAGGGGCGCCACCAGACCTCAATATGGCCCTGTTATAAAGGTTTAAAGTTTGTCTTTGAATGAAAGCTAAAATATTTGAACATTTTTCATATTATATCTGAAAATATTAATCTTCTTTTCGTAATGCCAATATATGGATCTTCAGTTGCCATTGATTATTTGGCTGATTAAAGAAAAAATACATTCACTATTTAGAAATGTTTACTACTATTTATGTATGCTGTATCGCTTTCATATATCGAATTTTTTTGTACCTAATAAATAAAAATATTAACTATTCATATTTTAATATTAGATTCATAGTTAATGTATTATCGTAAATTATTGAAAATTATAGCTTTCTCATTTGTTAAAGTTATCAAAGGTACATTATTGATTTATAGTTTTTCATCCTATCGTTAGTTCTATAATTATGTTTGAACAGAACAGACCTAACAAAAAAAACGATGGACATACGTGCTATTTATTACCTATAGGCTAACTTGTTGCATTTCATTGTTTTATAACTGTTGATAGATTAAATTTTAACGAAATCGATTAATTAATGTTATAAATAAATAATTGTTTCAGATTTATATTTAATGAGTTCAGAACTATTGGTATTGAGATTTTACATGTTGAAGTTGAACTATTAACTTACTTAGATAGTTTTTATTAATTTAACTTTTATGGGGTAGATACTTCAAATTTTTAAACATTAAAATAAATTTAGTTTTATTCAAAATAATTTACCATTAATTAAATTAATTTGAACGACGTTTTAGTTTCCTATTATAATAGGTTTGTAATCTTAAAATTTGTATGCAATGATAATTCATTACTCGAAGCTCCAAAATTCATAGTTTGAATATTTTTTTTGTTTATCTTATAATTTTGTGAACAAGTTTTTTAATTTAATCTGATTTAATCATTTATACTTATATATTTTATTATTTATTGTGTATCTCTTTAAATTAAGTTTACTTTTTATTTTTCCTATTTTAATTTAAAAATATAATTAAGTAGTAATATAACATTACATAAATAGTTTGTTATGTTATAGCAACAAAATATTAAAAATAGCTAGCAATTTTGTTAATACCGATTTTCAATGACTTATGATGGAATTGAATTCTATTTTTTGCGAGATCATTTAACTACTGAACTGGCTGAAATTGGTTGAAAAAGATTTTCCGATATACCGTACTTCAATTTTTACATAAATTACAAACTACTACCAATGTTATGGGAATATCAATTCAAAATAACATTTTAAAATATAATTTTATAGTGCCAATGTCAAAAGAATACTGATGTCAATGATTGGCATCAAACAATACTTTTAAAATATTATTTTATTTTTATATACATATTTATATCCAGTTTATCTATATATTACTTCGACTAGTGATATTTATTTTGAAAAGTTATTTTACTGTTGGGCTTTTATTGTTTCACAGAAAACGAAATGCTATTATGCAACATGAACTTAAAGAAGCTGCTAGCGATACACGTGGTGTAACTGCAGAATGCTTAACTACAGCTGTTAGTAATAGTGTTGGTCCAATTATGGCATCTCCATCTGCCATGCCTAGTAAAGCTACTATTCGATTTGTAAGTACCTATTATTATGGTTGATCGTAATTACTTTATTTTTTCATAATATTACTCATTGTATCATTAATATAGTTAATACCTTCTGTGGTCTATAAATATTTATTAACCATGTGCTGATCTTAATAATTATTGAAAAAAAAAATTCATTATTTTGTCTTTGGTTTTAAATCATATTTTATTCTCCTGTGTATTTCATTTTACTTATAAAATCGGTACGAGTATTGTTTTATTTTTATTTTTTAATATTGTATTAACGATATGAAACATTGTATTAAACATAATTTTTTTTCTACTTTTTTTTTTTTTTTTTTATTGTCGTTTTGTATGTTATGTTATTTGTCAACCTTTATAAGTATGGATTTTTGTAATGTTATTTAGGATGCTCATGATGGTGTTGTTAGCGCAGTAAAATGGAGTCCTGTAGATCGAGTAGTAGCAACGGGTGGTGAGGACCGCAAAGTGAAGCTATGGGATGTATCCAAAGGTAAATCATTTTATATTTATAAGTTTTACAATTAAATAATTCATCTATATTTTTATAGGTGTAGCTGAATGTAAAGGGATGTTAATCGGCAGTAATGCCGGTGTTATGTCAGTTGAGTTTGATAGTACTGGTGGGCAGATAGTTGCAGCTTCTAATGATCTGGCATCTCGTGTTTGGACAGTAAATGATCAACGACTTCGAGTAAGTAAATATGATTATGTACATTATTTGGGGATTTAAAAAACTACTGGAAATACAAAAAAAACTTTATAGTACATTTTATTTAATTTTGAAATGTATATTATATAATTCATAATTACCATACAAATATTATATTATTTAACTATAATCAATACATTTATAATATATAATTAGAAGAGTATATCATAATAATATTTGAAGTAAAAAAGGCTTAATACAAAAATGAATAGTTACATTTAAAAAATTCTATAATTACATGTACCTACTGACTTAAAGTTTCCCTTTCTTGGTTAATTTTGTTTATACATGGTAAAAAATATGAAATTTTGAAAGTTTAACTGTAAATATAAGCTTAAGCTATTGGTTACATTGTATGTTCCAAGTTAAGGGAAAGTTGCCATAATTAAGCATTGAGAAACGTAGACAAGACTCCAACAATTTTGTGTTAAGTATAAATTTTGTCTGAATAATATCAAACATACATAATATGTTTATCGTAGGAAAAATCGTCTACGTTTCAGCTCAATAAATACTTATATGTTAATTAATTCTAAAATAAATTAAATTTGTTGGCTAAATTATAATATTAGTCATTATATTATTATATTGAATATTGGGAGTGGCTAAGAAATTTAATTTACATTATATATTTTGCTTAATAATTATTTTAAGTTGTCTTAATAAAGTTTTTATTACATTTAATAATGTATTACTGTAACCTCTCCAAAAACTAAAAATATCCAGTAATTTAAATAGTATTCTAAATACAGTAAGACTTGTGCTGAAATATGTATAAAGTGATTGAATTTGATGAAATGATTGTACAATTTTACGAGAAACGATTGAATAAATAGTTAGTTTTCTAAATACAAACAGAAATTCATAATTTTGATAATCTAATACAATTGAGTTTATAAAATAGTTATTATGTAAACGTAAATATTTTATTGGAATATAAAATGTTAAATGTTTTTTGAAAACGTATTATATTTAATATTGTTTATTGAAAAATGAAAATGAAATTTATTCAGAATCATCTCAAGTATTTAGAAAATTAAATTATTTTATAACCTTTTATAAATGATCGAAAAAATTAATTATTTTTAATTGTTTTGATTATATTTATAATCTGATAATGTTAAAACTTAAAAGTCAAACTTACTAGCCTATATAAAAGTTAACGGTCTTAAAATAAAAAATTATACTAAATTAAATTTATTTGGACCGTTAAGGCTATTTGAGCGCGATGTCACTTCAAAAAGATTGTTTATCAATATGATTAACAAATATATAATTTGTTTCTAGCTAATTTAGATTAAAAATCTGTCATGGCAAACTGTCTCATTAAGGAATATTATCCCTTAGTATCGTTTTGCATACCCCGAATCGTACAGCTTACACATGCTGTCTGTCCGTCCAACTGGTATGCTCATACTTACTGAAAGCCCATCTTGATGATACTTATCGACTTGTCTTTTTTTGTTCCAAACATACGCCCAAGCTATTAACACAGCGACTTGAACGGCCAGAAACACAAGACACGATATTATAACACCAAACAAATTAACGCATAAACTATCGATATTGTAGTCTTGGTGTTTTATACTGTATGTTGTTGCGTCAGTTGGTTTCATTTCGGGTGATGCTTGTTGTGCACCGAATCCAAATTTATCGGTGATTTGAATGCTCTGCACAAGTAGCAAGTCGTCTCTTGCGTCTGAAGTGCTCTTGGTTGATCTTCGACGCCTTCTCTTTCCGAACGAGTGTACAGATCTGAGTTCTCCCGATGCATCTTCTTGATCACATTGAACAGGCTCGCAGGTTGGCATACAAGGTGTAACCAGGGCTCTAAATTGGACTACTTCGGATGAAGGGAATTTAAATGCATCAAAATATGATAAAAGAATCTAAAAAAAAAAAAAAAAATAATAAAAATCATATAATGCCAACCCAATATTGTGTACAAAATAAATAAATGTAAAATTAATAGAAAAACTAAAGATTGTACCTTTCCACTTCCTGTATCTGCCGATTTATATAGAGGGCCCATAATAAAGTGATCAGTTGGACATCCATCAGCATCAATCAATACGATTTCACTAGAGTCGACACCGTCCATTGCTACTAGTTCTCTGACGAATATCTCGTAAGGACTGTTTTGATCCAATATTTCAAATCTTAAAGCCAACGGATCTCCTACTTCAGCAGAAGGTTTTACATCAGCTCCTTGACGGTCTGTTATCTTCATAGCAACGTTCGGAGAGTCCACGATGACTTCTTCCGTCATAGCTGGTTTTAAATCTCCCTGTATACCCAAGTCTACTTCATTTGAAACCGTTTTGTTTGTCAAATCGTACTGACATGTGATGGCAACTCCAAGATCGGAACTGGTGATTATGGTGTCGTGGTGTTGAATAATTACGTCATTCATATATCTACCCAAACCTTGTTGTTTTACATTACATTCTACGTCATCGTAAGCCATTTCAAGTTCAAAATCCAAACTTCCTCTTACATCTTGAACGCAAGAGTTTGGATTTCCTTTAGCATAAATTTTTCCATTGAATAATTTACTAGTCTTAATCCTAGCAACCATGTCTCCTGAGCGGCATTCGATACTTATGTTGTAACAAGAGTTGAGCTCGTAAGTAGATGCTTCTGGTACCTCTAGGTAGGGATCCTAAAACATTTTAAATTATATAAGTGCATTGGATTACATAGAAATTAGTATTCTTTACGCCCGTATATTTAGAACGTGTGTATCATTTAAAATGTCATTGACCTGCATGCGGGTGGACAGGTTTCTTGTTTTCAAACTTCCGTGTTAAATATTTTAAATGATTCAAAATGTACTGTTAATTTTATCGTTGTTTTGAGATTCCAAACACTTACATTTAAATATTTATGAAAACTTTCTTTTGAAATTATTTTGAATTTTTCTATTTTCTATTTACAAAAGTATTTGTTTATTTAAAATATAATTTTGTGTTAGACAAAATATCGAATTGAAAATAATTACATTTAAATTATGGAGAGTAAATACTTTTTTAGTATTTACCTGTTTTATTTGTTTTGTAAAATGTTTCACTGTCGTAATAATTCATTGGATAACTCACAATCGAAAATACTCTACGAAAATATTTTACCGGAAATCGCAAAATCGAAAACTGCCAGTTACCACTTAATAATATTTATATTATGTGCTAAATCTATTTTGAATGGAAGTACTTCTTTTCATTTCTCATAAGTCAAAACATTCAAGGTTAATCTAGAGAAATCGTTGAAAAATGAAAATACCCAGATTCATCGTTCTTCGACTATTTACTGGCAGACACTTTTAGAAAAAGATAATATTTTAGAACTCGTCTTAAAAAATCGCAGTAAAAAAATATACAAACGTTGGTGTCATAATTTTTATCGGCATACCGATTCTAATCAACCGAAAACTGGGTCGATATATATCGAGGGCCTCTATAAGACCGACATCCCGGGGATAACGTACCATGGCGTTGGTTTGTTATTATTACAATTATTATTAGTATTATTGTGTGTATGTGAGTGTGAATATGTGCACGCGCGCGCGTGCGTGTGTACGTGTGGAAGGATTCCGTTTTTGGCACCACTCGAATGTGGGTTACAACAACTAAACGTGTTTGAGAAAGGATACGGCACACGGTAACGAAAACATGAAACATTAGTTGCCTCATTATTGAAGTTCAGTCAACAATCGAATTTTATTTTTCATTTTCATACAATACAAAAGAGGTGGATTACGTATTTACATAAATATATGAATATTTCAACTATATGGTTAGTAGAAAGAATGAGAGTGTACACGTTGAACGAAACAAAACGTTGAAAATAGACTTTTTAGGAACAAATATCCACGTTTGAAAATGCATTGATTTTTGTGTATCCGTATATCTACGTGTGATATATCGTTGCTGAAATCGAATGTCAAATGTATATTGTACATCGAGTTTGGAAAATACGTGCATGTTGAAACGATAACCTTTTTATTATTATTATTTTTTTTTTTTATTATTTCAATTTCATTCTACATGAATCGTATCGAAGATGTTTCCGGCGTAAACTTGAAAATAATATCACGCTAGTGGTGTGTCGTACATTGTCAAAATAATTTTACCTGTATGTCGGCCAGTGTAGCCCGGGAGTGATGGCTGAGCCTGCAGACGAATTCGCCGGTATCACCGTAATCGTACGAGTGGCACCTGTACGGCGAGTTGAGGCACAGTTCCCGGCAGTCGTCTAGCGATCCGACGTCTTGATACACGGAGTCCACGGTCTTTAGTATGCGGCCGGGGAATTTTTTGAACTCGCACAGTTTTATGGGCTCGTCCACACAGTTGTTCTCCAAGTAATCCATCCCGCTGGCCGGTTCGAACACCCCCTGACCGGCTACCGTCAACCTGTCCATGTCCGAAAGTTCGCACTCGGCAGTGCTGTTGTTATAGTTTGCTGACCTGTAAAAACGTCACGATTAATGTGACATTCAATACGCGCGCGATCGTTTTATTTATTTTTGCTATTCGTAGATTTTCGTGAAAAACCATAAAACCGCTCGATTTCAGCATTATATGCACATTTATAATAGGGCGAAATAAATACTTCTCGACGATTGCGAATCGCCAAAAGAACCCGTTTGGAAATATCTATGTTGCGCTTGTGTTATAATATGTATCGGGTCTAGAGTTGTTCGTATCTATGTTTGTGGTAATTAAATCTGTAGCACTACTAAACAATCATCGATTATTGCTACCGCCACTACGTTATTGAATCACGATCGAATAGAATCACGAATTTAATTTCCGGAACATTATACAAGCCATTTACGAACGTGTTTCGTGCGTTTATTACTATGTACGATTTACGCGGAGTGTAATGGATGCGCACGTTTAGGTTTAAAATTATTTTGTTCGATCACTGTTAGTGGGGCGTTTTGTTTGAATTGTTTTTCTATAACATTATTATTAAGTCATTGCATTCAACGTTCGCGTTAGTGATTTGTTATCTTATGGCGACGGTCCAATTTCGTTGCGACTTGGAAATGCGCCATATTAGGAGCGTTAAAATGTAGTGTACGCGCGTCCATGTGTCTAATTATGTGATGACATTGCGGAATATCGATACTTATTATATAACATATATTTATGACGGAACGATTTAATTCTATAAATATAATCGATATATGAAATTATTTCAACGTGTGTTCGTAAACTAGTTTTGAAACCGTTTTCTTAGATTCGTGCAAAAGAGCTTGTCATTCTCGCGCATGTACACGTCGTCCGGATGTTGTGTGCGATTATTCGAATTATCTCGTACAAGATTTGTCGATTGTTTATGAAAATATTTTAATCATAATCTTGTGCTCCGCGTTTAAAATAATATCGGGATTTGGAAAATCGGAACAATGTTGCGGGACAGGTTTGATTGGTTCGAAAAAAGGCTGTCTAGTCGTAATGAACGGTTTTCAAATCTTGGTGCACTAAGCGAAGAAGGTATTGAACGTCAATGGACGTAGCGAAACAATTTGAGAAAAATAATAATGAAAATAAATTAAGTGAACATCTTAAGCGAATTGCATGTCAGTAATTGCCTTATATAACTTCGTTGAACGTAACGGTTCAATAACTATTAAATGTGAGTTTTCGCTTGTCGGAACTGTTATAAAAATGTACTTCAAGAGATTGCCATTCACTGAAATGTTCAAACATCCGAGCGACTATAGAATGGCTTACAATGAATTAAAGGTGAATGTATATATATATATATATATATATATATATATATATATATTTAAATTCATTTATACAGCAAAGTTGTACAATAATTTACGTGTTATCGGACGAGTGGCACTTAAAACGTTCGTAAGTGATGATAATACGAAAATCGTAGAGAATTGTCGTAGAAGTCCATAATGTTTACGTGAATAAGGTTTATCAAAAGAAAAAAAACATTCCTAAAATTCCGGTTTGCGGGAGAAAAAAAAATCGGTGATTTGCGAACACGAGAGGTCTCTGCAATTATATTATTATTACTATACGCATTATTTTAGTACGGACTGCGTGCCAGTAGGGCAGAAGAGAATCAGTAGGTGAACCGCTCGACGACGATGACTAACCGGTTTCCAGCGGTCGTGTCACCCGAGTATCGGCTCTTCTGTGACCCTCACGCTCGGCGCCGTTCTTACGATGTCTCGCGAATAAGTTATTTCATGCAAATCCACCGTTCGTCTGGCGTTTAGTAGGCCGATAAACTCATTGATTCCCAATAATGACTACAAATTGCTCGCGAAACACCATAACGTGCGGTGTGCGACGGACGACGACCTAACGAATGTTTTACGTAGAAATACATATGTATTATGTATTGGATTTGTCATGCAGTCATCGCGACAAGTCAATGACATATTTTAATTTCCATTATCGTACGGATATGTAAGGTTTTTTTTTACCCGATGATCCGATTCGGATAACATACGAGGAGAGAATACCACACGACGTTCATTTTCATATGCTATTCGTAGGCACGTTTTTGTGTTCACACGTGTATGATAACAATATCCGTGAAGTGACCGTTGTCGGTGTTGGAATGTTTCCAATGTATTATTCCTGATTTACACGTTTTGCTTACATTTTTATTCCCAGCGGATCGAAAATTCAGCATAGCAATAATTAAAATCGGCCATGTAGATCGATCCCGGTTAATGTGTGAGACGACGGGGTGTGTAGGGGTACTCGTGTTTGTCTGACGGAATGTCAATTTCTTTTCAATTCGACGTCGCGCGCGCGCGCGCGTGTGTGTGTTCTACATTTATTTACGTGTACGTGTGTGTTTACGTGGGTGAACGGACTTACGAACGTACAGTTATAACGATAATGTTATTAGATTTTAGTGCGCATAAATTGTGTATTTGCCATGTTTACGGAATACATATTATAGATCCGATGGAAATATAACTATATAGGTACTCATTTTAAAATTTGTATTACGTGACCAACACCATCGTTTTTATAGTTTTAAATGCAAAACAATTCAATCAAAAGTTTTCGGTTGTGGTGGTGCGTGCGTGCGTGTTTTATATATAAAGAAAAAAAAAAAACTAGCCATTTTATTGGAAAATATTTACCTCCCTATTACAATTTGAATACTGTTAAAGCGATGCGTGTGTGTGAGGCGCTTTAAGTGTTTTCAATATCCATTGTTGGTTGGTCGTGATCGTGGAAAACAATGTGCGACTTCTTCCGCGGTTAATTAAGCGAACCGAGTAAATTGATTAACTCTTAAAAAGCTCTCTAACCATTTATTTTTACAACGACGTGATAAAATAGGTGTTATTTTTTATTATTCCTAGCGATTATGTCCCGTACAAATAGACAATTACCAAAACGGATTAGGCGTCCGACATCGCAGTTCATTCGAAAAGCTAATACCATTTTATATTTATTTTAATTTTAACGTTATTAATTCGACGTGGGTGTTACTAATTTTGTTTTATTACTTTTTTCGAGCGGTAATAACCTTTAGAACAATTAGAAGAACTCTATTTCTTTTATAGTTAAATTATTTAATTTTTACTTCTAATGAGGATGTTAAAAGAGTTTACATTAAAAAATATATTAAAAATAAGTATACAAACGATATTATGTTCCCAGATAAGCAGTTGCGGAAATCTAATAAGTTTCGTTTAAATGGTATATTTTTAAATTTTTATTTGAATATGGAAACTCAAAATATTGAATTATTGGTTTAAAAATTTCATTATTTTTTCAAGTCGATTTCATATAGTATTATGAATTATCTTGATTTGTACTTACCGGCAGGAGAATTCTCTTTCGCCTAGACATAGTTCTAAACAATCTTGTCTGGATGATGCGGATAATTTTTTCTTGCCAAAACCTTTGAGCTTATAACCTTGTACTCTATCGAAGCACCAAGCTCTTTCGCAAGGCTTGATACCTAGACATGTCTTTTGCGCGTAAATCGTGAACACTGGAAACTGTGATTTGCTCAGTGCTCCTAAAAAAGCATAAAAATAAACATGCGAGTTAAGTAAGAGTAGATATCTAAATGCGCATCTAGTAGGATTTTAAACGTGACACCTCATGGTTGTTTGGAAAGTCAGGTGTACACATTAGTTATGGAACGGGATTGAAAACGTGACGTACGGTTTAGTCGAGAACTATCCCCCTCCCCTTACCGGTGAATATAATTATTATAAGGTGGTAAAAGTACAATCAGTATTGTACGGAAAATTCTTAAAATCAGAAAACAGTATGAATTTATTTTTTATTCACGTAGGTTATAGGAAGAACGCCGTAATTCGTTTTCATAGAAATGTCCGCGAATCGCAGGCGGTTTAAACATTTATCAAAAAACGGTGAACGTTGTTTCGAATGACCTCACATGGTGGTCATCCGTCTACGACACTATGTCGGAATCAACAGAGGTAGCAATAGCAGCGTTTAGGTAATAATCAATGATTGGGCGAAGGACACGTGAATTTGGCGAAGGAAATCCGTGCCTGAATACACTGCATAATAATGAATCGTGATAATAATAATCGTATCGGTTGAAACCGTGTCCGAACATGACCGCCAACCGATTATCGCGTTATCCCGTTTTTCGCTCATCTTGCGATCGTCGACATCCGAAAAAATAGCGAAATCAAACGGTTGTAGAAAAAAAAAAAACCCTCGGCATACGCGACTAAAAAATTGCCTAATTTCACGAAGATAATGGACTTCCACCGAAGCCACTCGATTCTTACGCAAGATTATCATCATGCGCTCTATTAGATCCCATTACGTAATTTACATTTTTCACTGGCCAATTACTATTTTTTACACAGCACTACGTGTAACGTTAACAGTATATTTAATTTGCCTTTATCGTAAACGACTTTTGAGCGTATTGCCGCACGCTGTTTTACAATAACATAACACACAGCGTGTACAAGTCGTTCAATTCGATCACCCATCTGATAGGTCGCATACGACGTGGCTGCTATTATAGACGTTTGAAAATTTAACGGCCCGTGATGGTTGGATATGAAGTGAACACGTTTTTAGGAGACATTACCGAAACGTGGAAACGATGCTGCTTTTTGTTAAACTGGAATGTGACTCGAGGTCGAAATCGAGTGTTTTTCGTGATGCTCGAAATCGGGGAAACGTGTTGTACAATTCGGTTTGATTCGAGCACGACCGGCCGGGACCGCCCGAACGTCGCACCGCGCGCTCTTTCGCCCACGATGCCGTTTCACGTGTCCGCGCGGCACCGATCGAAAACCGTTGCCCGCGGTGGTGGATGCCCCGAGGAGGAGAGTACGAGTAACCGGGCCAGTTACGATCCGTACACGTTCAGAACGTGGTGTGTACCCCGACGATATAAAAACGTTTCGCCGCCTACCCGTACGGCACAACGTCGAACGATTTGAATTGGTTATCGGTAGCGATAGAGGTCGACCTCCGTCGAGTGAACACGTAAAGCTCGCGGGGGTTAAGGCTTTGGACTCATCACGACGGTGCGGCGTTGTTACATACGTTCGTGCTACCGACTCGGCTGGGCTCGGGAAGAAGCGGCAGCCAGCATAACTCCCGCGGTACATCCGCCGGCGCGCGGTCTCCCTACACCGTTCCTTTACCCTAGACCGTTGCTATTGCGTAATTGTGCCGTACACGCGAATCGATAAAAAGGGAGCAACACACCCCTCGTTTACCTGGATAGGCGTCCGCGTTCGACGAGAACATCACGCACAGGCCGGTCTCGTAGTTGACCGAGTAGCACGTGTCGTTTGACTGGCAGGCCTCCAGGCAGTCGGTCAGCATCAGCGTGCCCGGTATACTGTCGAGCAGGTCGTCGGGCGCCGTGAACACGTACCCGGTAACCAACTCGAACCCCGTCATGTCGGCTTCGCAGTCTTGCAGAGACGTGGCCGAAGCCACCGTCAGCATCATGACGCACGCGTACAGCGCGCTCATGAAGGTCTTGCCTGCAACAGTACGCGAAACAAAACGAATGAGTATACGACGAGAATGGCAACCGTGTACACCCACCGCGTAGTGGGCCCGCACACCGTGGCGACCGGACGTGTTATCGAAATCCCGTCTCAGTACGTAGAGAAAAAAAAAAAAACAATTTTCCGAATACAAATTGTACGAGCGATACCACACGAAAAAAAAAAAAAAAACGAAAATACGTGCAACCGCATATTATAATAATATTTATATTACTATCGTCGTCGTCGATTTTCCGCTCAACGCAACACTCGACGTGTGTAGTCTTATGACGACGAGACAGCAAAAACATCTTGTGATACGTTTTATTATTTAGTATTTTTTTTTTTTTTCTTACGTACGTACATTTTGGTTAACATGCGAGTAAGACGACGCTGTAAAAACAGAAAATAACGTTTGCGTATAGGATACCCGAAAACATCCCACAGCAATACACATTATCAGTGTACGCTGTCGGTACAGCCATTAACACGGGCTTACGCGTAATTCGCGCAACTTAATCTAAACCGACGTCGAGTGAATCGTATATTTTATTATTATTATGTTTTGTACGGCATATTATACTATGTACACCGTCATTACTGCCCCCCGGAGAAACAGTAGATTAATATCACGTCGTCGCTGCTGTTTAGACGCCTTTCCAGAGTGTGGGACAACGGAAGGTTTCTTACTCAGTCATACAGTGTGACATAACGGATTTCGGTATCTTATGTACAATACGAATAGGTTATACCCCAATCCTCGTCGGATTTTTAACCCGTAGGATTTATATATGTATATATATCATATAGATGGTTCTATTTTCCTTGGTGTTTGATTTGTTGAGAATAATGCTCGGAACGAGTCCGGAAGCGATGTTGTTTTACATGGTCTTAGAAAACAAGTGAGAAAAAGAAAAACAAACAGGGAGAGTAGGAAAATATGCATTAAACCGCATGCAATTACTCCAGTATGTGTATTGATTGCCGTCGATTTACTGCTATATTATAAGTGTACTTGCCGCCATTCGGTTTGCTGTGCGGTGACCGATGTATACATGTAATGGCGTACATGCTTATGTGTAAATGCGAGTGTAGATGAAATCCAGACCCCGTACACGTCTTACCGTTAATAAAATGTGGAGAATAGAAAAAAGAAAAAAACTATAAAGCGAAATAATAGTAGCGTGTAGTTGAGACGAAATAAGTGCTTTTGCTGATACGGTTTTCGCGAAGACGTTCATTTTTTGTTTTATATTGATATAGAATTTCATTGAAACGTTATTCGATATAATATATTAAAATGAATTAATCATTTTTTCGAATTGCACTTGTGGGACATATATGTAGTTTATTCGAATGTATTATTATTACCATTCTAAATAAGAAGGTAACACACCACTGCAGCAATAATAGTAGTGTGTGTGTGTGTGTGTGAAGGTGTTCATTGTTTACTGTTATTCGAAAAATTACAATCGATCAGAAAACGTAAAAGTCAGTTTATCGTTTCTGATGAAGTTCTATGTGTAGGTAAGCGCATATAGGTGTGTGTGTGTAATTTAATGTACCAGAGGCTAAACCAAACGCGTTTTGTTCGGATTGAATAATAAAAACAAGCGGTGTTTATCGTTCGTCTACGATCGATCACACCTGCACGCGCACCTTGACGTGTTATCCTCTTTGATGAGATTAGCGCGCAACGTGTTTACCGGAGGCTGTTATTGTTTTAACCGTTCGGTCCGAGTTGCACATATTAATTCGTAGACTTGTGTATACGAGTCATCGTCACGAGTTAATAAGTTTTTCTTTTTGTAGCCTCACATTCACGTGGAATAACGTGTAGTTCACCCAAGATAACTGCACGCGACTTTTCACCCGCCGAATTATTTTCATTACCATTATTATTATTATTATTATTATTATTATTATTATTATTACTGATTTCAATATCACGACAACGACGACGAAGAGCAAGTGTGTCTATAAATAATAATATAATATATTATCACGTAACGGTGGTCTTGCGCGCGGGACCTTACCCGGAGGCGTTCCATGACGCGTTCTGAAACCAGTTTTATTTTTTATTATTTTTAATGAGACGCACGCCGTGGACATCGCACAATCGTCTTTTCTACCGGGTTGAAAATATTTAATAATGTTTTTTTATACACTGGAAAATCGGGAGTCGATGTGCCGTACCTACTCATCCATTCTTGACCTACATTAACAAAAAAAATCGAAGGTTTTTTTTTTTTTTTTGAACCGCTATTGAAAAGTCACTGGAAAAAACCGTGAAACAATCTGTGTTGCTCTTCTCCGCGCAAATAATAGATGGGTTAAAAATATATTATTTGTAAATCGAGAACCGTCTTCGTAGTGCGTACCCAACTGTACAATAATAATAACGAAAATGCAATTACAAACCGTCGTTGTGAAATTCGAAGTGTCTTCACTGTATACACCGTAGTTGTCTGTAATATAATTGAGGCCGATTTCATGTTTCGCGTGGTCCTCTCCCAGTGATGTCACGGAGTACGGTACGCGCAATGTTTGTATTTTTATCATAATTAACCTATCATATTTTTCCTGCAACGAGTATGCACCCGATAAAATCCAATATACGAAAGCACACTTTTCTTTATTGCGGAAAATTCCATCGTGACGGTGACAATCATGCATTAATTTGGTTCTACGTAGTTATGCCACCGCGGCAATCACGCTAAATGATGATCTCGCTTCGGTTGACGGATATGAATCATGCCTGGTAGCAATACATGCAGTGCATTTTTCAGACGGTATTATAAAAAAAATTACGTTTATTTCGTCTCGCACACTTCCACTTAGTCAATTTGACACGTTTAAATCTGGTATACAACTGGATTTTCTCAAAATGTTTTGTCATCAATATTAGTTATATGTATATATATATACATATACATATATTCATACATATATAATATTATTTTTAGTTTTTGTGAGATACTTAGGTGTTTACTAAGTAGGTTTTTTGCATATTAATTTTTCTTTTGTGTTCGAAATGTATTCGGTTCCTATCATATAAATTATTTCGTTCTAACTGTGACATAAGTTGTTATGGTACGTACAACATTTGTGCTCAAGTATCGACGATTTGAATGGCAGTTTATTGTCGTGGTTATTTTACAATGATCTTAGTATTAAACGGTTTTTAACTTATTATAATGTCAAATACAAATTATAGATTATTATTTTTTTTTTTTTTTTGGCGGACACCTTACACATTCATTATTAAACAAAACGTCGTTTAATGATATTCGATTATTCTACGTTTAATAACAATTATTTTATGACAGTTCTCTCGTGATCGTTCGCGCTGCGTCCGTGGGAAACGGTTTTTTAGTAGGATTATGTCTCATAACTGTGCAGTAATAATAATTAATGTTATGCAGTTTACCATCAACCGGTTAGTGCAGCCTAAAGCGACGAAGAGTTTTTTTTTCGCTTTAACGTGAGTGTTCATAATATTAAAAAAGAAAATGAACCGAAAAATATACATTGACGAAAAAACAATACGACGAAGATGGTTCACCATATGCTACTGTCACCGATAATAAGTGTGTTTTCTGACCGGAAATATTTTGTTTTTCCACAACTCAATCAAAACGGCATTCCATTAGAAGGGAGATTTCTCTGCTGCAGCACTATAGTACGTGTTCGATTCGTTCCGAGAGGAGAAACAAAAACTGCGCCGAAACAAAACGGGTGCGCGAAAAAATAAATAAGAAATGCTTCTTTTTATTATTGGGCAACAAAAGGAAAATTGGCTCGCGATGAACACAATGAATCGTTGTCGCAAGTGTAAAAAATATTATGTACTCGTAACAGCACACGCGTTTAGAGAACTGCTTGCATCGTACATGTCTTGCGGAGGACTGCACGCTATAAATGTTTCACCGGAAAACAGTCATCGCAATCGCCCGTGTATTCTCGTCATAATTTATCGTGTACTGCACACGAGATCAAGAAAATCATATTATTAACCGCGTGGTAATAATATAATAATTATCACACTCGCACTGAGGTGTAAATATACATATTTATTTATAGTTTATGTTTGCCGCGTAATCTTGTTTTCTCGAACAAGTCTCAACGTCCGTCCATGACCGGACGATGCGCGCTCTTGTGCTTGGTGATAGAGTTATTTGTGCCGCGATCGATCGATCGGAGTTCGTACAAAAATGATATCCGAGTCGCAGCTGCGGTTGCATTTAATCAGTCTGGTCGGGTCATCGTATTGTCATAGATTATTAAGTCACGTTACGTATCGTATCCTTCACGCTTAGCCGTCGCCTATTACCATGCTGCACCAGTCGGGACATTCGTTGCATTCGTGCGATGTTAATAATCACATGTACACATGTCTAAATGTATTCTCGTCCTGCAATGACCTGGAATCTCGTTGTGAGTTGGTTCATATTATACTTTTGATGGTCGAGGCTCTTCGCCGATCAACAGTAGTTATAATATACATATATATATATATGTATGTATGTATATTTACACTCTGCAGCTTTAAGAATCGAGTAAAAACGTGATTGTTGCACCGGAAAACATCGGTCGCCGTAGACGTGTTTATATACTTGTATATATATATATATGTGTGTGTGTGTGTGTGTGTGTGTGTGTATTATATTGGCGAATAATGCAGAAATATAGGTCAACAAATTATTATTATCATGTATTTTTGTAGAAGGTATATAATATTGGCGCGCGTCCTGCCGGCGGTCGTGACCGCGGCGCGCGCTTAGAACATTCTATTGTGTGCTCGCGCGCGCGAAGCAATATTGCGTCGCCTTTAACGAGCCGGTTCATCTCTGCTGCGGTGGCTATTCACATGGCTGCAGGTCCTCCAGGGGCCAAAGATCGATCTGCCCGTACTGTAAAGCGTGACAAATTTCGCGAATCCGAACGTCTATCGCGTTGTTAAACGCGTTCGCCGAATTATAATCGTCGTTTGA